AGCCAACTAGGGGGGACAAAGGGAAAGGATAATGTGTGGTACTTTGGCTGCATATATGAGGATTTATTTGGTGGTTAAAGGGTTAAGAAAGTACCATGTTTCTCCTGGAATTTTATGGTTGTTTAGTGGGTTGTACTAGGGAACATAGTAGGGACCATGTTGGGTGGATGTTGGAAGATGAATGGGGCTGTTTTGGTTTCCTATTGTGACCTGGGATTAAAATAGATAGAAGATACTTTATTTTGGATATCAAAAGGAAATGAAATATATTTGGATGTTTAGGGTTGGGTTGGACAGAGTGGGGGTTGGCTAGCGGAACCCTTAGGTCAGTTACGAAAAATATTTTGGCCTTTCGGGTTAAAAGACCTTTGAATTTTCACTAAAATGGATCATAATGTTTGAACGTAAGTCCTTTGGCTCCCATGATTGTGTGAGGCGTGGGGAAGGACCTGAAAGGGTCGGGCTCGGATACATCACACCTATTACTAACGGCCCTTAGTGCCAAAATTGTTGGTTTTGAATTTTTGCAGGAGCTATATAAGGAAGACGAAGACTTCAAAGACACGTTCTCCAAGTGTCTTGTGCGGCCCCAGGGAGAGTTCCTCATCAAAGATGGTTATTTGTTTCGTGGAAATCAATTGTGCATTGCGAAATGCAGCCTTCAAGAGACCCTCATTGGAGAAGTGCATGGAGGTGGACTTGCTGGTCACTTTGGCATAGAGAAGACCTACATGCTTATGCGAGAACACTACCATTGGCCAAAGATGGAACGAGACGTGGAGCACTACATCAAACGGTGCGTTGTTTGCCAAACTGCCAAGAGCCACCCATTAGCCCAAGGAAAATATCTTCCCCTCCCCATCCCCACGGCACCATGGGAAGATATTAGCCTCGACTTCATCACGGGGCTGCCTAGAACACAACGAGGGAAGGACTCAATCATGGTCGTGGTAGATCGGTTTTCAAAGATGGCCCATTTCGTGCCATGTCTAACCACACATGATGCTTCACAAATCGCTGATCTTTATTTCCGCGAGATCGTCAAGTTACATGGAATTCCCCGAAGCATGGTATCAGATCGAGATAGCAAGTTCCTTAACCATTTTTGGATGACACTTTGGAGAAAGATGGGAACCAAGCTCAAGTTTAGCACCTCTCACCACCCTCAAACCGACGGTCAAACAGAAGTGACCAACCAAACTCTCGGTACGCTGCTACGGGTGCTCATCAAGAGGAATATAAAGCAATGGGAAGAACTACTGCCCCATGCAGAGTTTGCATATAACCGGACACCTAGCAAAACAACCGGATTTTCTCCATTCATGGTTGTTTACGGCTCAAACCCCCTTACCCCACTTGAACTTGATCCTATTATGATAAAGCAGAAAAACAGTGCGGAAGCCGAGGAACGAGCTAAAGAGATTCAAGACCTTCATGCCAAGGTACGAGAGAAGATTGAAGCCACCAATGAAAGAGTGAGTGCGCGCATCAACAAGAGAAGGAAGTCTGCAGAATTCAAACCCAGAGACTTAGTTTGGATTCACCTCAGAAAAGAGTGTTTCCCCACGAAACGCAAATCCAAGCTACTGCCCCGAGCGGACGGTCCCTTTGAAGTACTAGAAAAGATCAATGACAACGCTTACAAGATCAATAGGCCCGGAGAATATGGAGTCTCCGCCAGGACAGATTATAGAGAGGAATATATGGTGAAGAATGGGTTGGATTTGTGTATGAAATGGTGAAGAAAATATGGTTGTTTGGCAGAGGTGATAGGGCAGAGTAAAGGGCAGGAGAAAAGCAATATTATGGAGTGGTGGTTTTTGATGAAGAAATGAAGTGTTTAAATGGGAGAAAGGAGATTGACGAAATTTGGAAAGAAAAGGGAGTTCTTTTGTGGTTTTTATTATAGAAGGATAAACCAAATAATAAATAAGAGACAAACACACTCTTATTTTATTTGGGGCTGTTTCTTTTCACACAATAATATTCACTATTATTATATGAAATAGACTCCTAACACACACTCAAAAGTAGCCAACTTTAGAGATATTTAATTAGGAAATTGAGAGAATTAGCTTCACACCAACTCAAATATTACTTCAAAGAGTAAGGAAATGAAATACAATGAATGCCTTTTACAAGGCCATAGGGCCGAAATATATAGGGAAAAACAGCAAGGAAACTTCACCACTCTTTCCTACAATTCAAATGCATAATGCCCATTTGATGGATCCCATAGGTTGTCCTCATTGATCAAGGCTAAAAGGGTTCATGGTGGTGAAAATGGGCTGTCTTTGGGTGGGAAATTCGTCCATGTGAAGGGTAGGGTGAGGGAGTGTGTCCTTTTGTCCATTTATGCAAAATAAGTTATGTGACACATCAAGGGATTGATTGTTTATTCCTTTGGCCTTATTATAGGTGTGAGAAATGATTTGGGGGGATGTTTGGGGGGAGGAATTCGGCCATGGGACAAAGGGATGTGTGGGAGGATGGTTTTGAATGATTTTCACACCAAGACAAAAGACATGTTTAATCCTTGTCTCCTGATTTGGTCTATTGTGTTTTGTAATGGATTGGGATGGATGGGGATGGATTCTAAGGCCAAAAGGGGATGTATTTTCGTGGGTTTGAAGTAGAAAAAGGGGTGGGACAGCAGGTTATTTGGAGGTATTTCCTGGGCTGGATATGGGGTAAAAACATGGGGGTTGAAGGGTGTGGGTGTGGGTCAAGGTGTCTTGGATTTTATGGCTGTTTGTTTAGCCAAGTTGAGGTGTAAGGGAGTGGCATTGGCAGGGTTGTGGCATGGGATTTTCGGCCATGGCTTCAAAGGGAGGTGAAGGACTTTATTTTGGTTAATAAAGGCTAATGAAATACTTTTGGATATGTGGGAGTGTGTTGGGCTTGTAGGCATTTCGGCCTAGGTTGGGTTTTGGGAGAGAAGTGTCATGGTTCGGGCTTTAATGTGGGACGGGTCAATGAGTTCAACCCAAAATGGATCATAACACCTAGACATTAAACACTTGACTTGTTGTAATACTAGTGGCGTGTGTGAAGGTGCATCCCGGGGTATATCACAAGGACAAAGAGAATTGCTTTGTGTGTGTTGTTTTCTTTCCTAATATTCCCTACTTTGAATAAAACCTTCCCCCACCTTTTTCTACTTCAAAACCACGAAAAGACATCCCCTTTTGGCCTTAGAATCCATCCCCATCCATCCCAATCCATTACAAAACACAAAAGACCAAATCAAGAGACAAGGATTAAACATGTCTTTTGTCTTGGTGTGAAAATCATTCAAAACCATCCCCCCACACATCCCTTTGTCCCATGGCCGAATTCCTCCCCCCAAACATCCCCCCAAATCATTTCTCACACCTATAATAAGGCCAAAGGAATAAACAATCAATCCCTTGATGTGTCACATAACTTATTTTGCATAAATGGACAAAAGGACACACTCCCTCACCCTACCCTTCACATGGCCGAATTTCCCACCCAAAGACAGCCCATTTTCACCACCATGAACCCTTTTAGCCTTGATCAATGAGGACAACCTATGGGAT